GGCTAAAGTTTAGCTAGGGTCCAATAAATCTAAAGAGGGCCTTAGACTAACACTCATTACCATAGTTATCATCTGGGCCCACACTTTGTTGTTCCGAGTAAACATCGTATACAAGGTGTAAGAACTATGTTACTCCCTCCGCCCCAAAATAAATTAACTTAAACTATCAAAAACAGAGACACTAATAAAGAAACGAGAAAGCAAGGTTCACGCTAAGCTTGTTGTCTCATGGCTTAGTTTATTAGCGCGGAATAAAAGAAATTCCGTGAATAAATGCAAATTTAAGCGTCCACTAAACATAGCACAGTCGATCGAACAGTCGATAATAAAAAAACAAAATAATGGAAATCTACAACCACACGAGCGAGACAAAGGAAAGGAGGCCGAAAGCTAGCCGCGGATCGGATCAAAGAAGAAGAAAGCAAGGGGCTCTGACGAGTGTGACTTGCATGGGTGGCCCTTCTTCTTCATGGACCCAAATGAATACTCGTTTCTCGCAAGCAGCGTGGGCTCAATCTATGTCCTTAGAAAGGACTAAGGAGGTCCAGTCCGCAATATGGACCATGGGCTTCTCCTCAGGCCATCGGCCTTGCATGACGCAGGCCCAAATTGTTTATCGCAAGCAGAGCTTGCAGCCATAGCCCGCTATCATTGGCTCTGTTAAAATTTCCTCATTTCTAAAGAAAACCCGGCCCAGAAGGATACCATCCTGTTGCTGCACATATCACGGATAGTCTAGAATAAGAATCGGATGAGCTTGCATTAAAAAAAAAGTGGATGGTGTTAGAGATAGCTCTCATAATGACATGCTAGTGCAGCGCTGACATGATGGCTTGTATTAAGATATACCGATAATTGGGGTTTCTTTTTAGAAAAAAATATACTACATATAATAAATAAACTCCCAGCATATATGTGACGATGGAAATCATGTTCTGTTGCACTACTCGAGCGTACTTTTCAGCGAACGAACGGTGTTTTACTCTCACAGCAAATCAGCATAAGCATCAGTATAAACTAAATTTCACTGAAAAGAACAGAGCCAATATATGCCTACAACTAGTTGAGTACAAACCATGCCATGCACTTGTGAGCTTGAGCTGTACTTGGATTATACACATAATACTCAGATGGTTATCAGTATAGTAAACTAGTGATAGCGCGCCCGCACTACTAGTACTCACCTGCACTAAACGATAGGGCAGACGCCCGAGGTCTTAATCAAAGCATTGCTTTATCCCCCAAAAAAAAAAGAAAAAGAATGACTCGTACAAAAGAAGCTGCCTCGCTAGTTTTCTTTCTTAGTTAAAAACGTACACTCAAAATAGTGTCTCCTATATAACATTTATTAAGAAAAAAACAGAAGTTGTACAAATAAAAGCAGAATTTAAGGCAGAATTATCACTAAAAATCAAAAGTGTATATCTGGCACTAAATTGGTCATTTTATTCTCTCGATTCGTTCACCGTGTATGGAACATGGAAAATCGTACCGGATCTGCTCCTGAAGATACTGATTGGTTTGCTGCATGGAACTTGGACAGGCCCGCCAGAAGCAGATGATGCTTGATTAGTCAGCTGGGTGTTCGAGTGAGGCTGTGTTTAGTTCTAAAAAGTTTCCCAAAAAATACTACAGTAGCCATTACATCGAATCTTGCGATACGTGTATGGAGTATTAAATGTAGACGAAAAAAAACTAATTGCACAGTTTGGTTGGAAATCGCGAGACGAACATTTTGAGCCTAATTAGTCTATGATTGAACACTAATTACCAAATAAAAACAAAAATACTACAGCAGTCAAATTCCCAAATTTCGTAAACTAAACACAGCATGACCAAACAGGGCTGGCACGCGGACATAGGAAACCAAACAAGACAAGACGCGTTTGCAGTACCTGAGATGGGCCTGGCTTGGAGATACGAGGTAGGCTGAAAAGAAACACAAACCAATCACCTCCCAAAGGATGACCAACTGAGTTGGGCGGAATGGGCATCATCCATCTCAAGCTTGCCAGAATTGCACTGCAGTCAGGATGGCTGTGGCTGCAGCGGATGGACGCCAACCGAGCCCGGGCGCAATTACAGCATGTTCGCTTAGTCGTAAACGATCGTAAATTTCCAGCTGGAACAGTATTTTTCTCTCACACCAAACCAGCCAGCAGTAAATAATCCACGATCGTTTACGACCTCCCGAACAGGCTGTTAATTGTCGATCAAGGCAAGCCCTAAAGCCCTATCTGCCTTTGTCTCATCGAGAGGAAACAGTGGCAGCTGCTCGCATTCATTCAATTCAAGCGTCGAGGGCCACTGGACAGCTAGCTGATAACCCGGAGTGATAAGTTCAAGCAAACAGAAGGCCAACACTTAGCTGTCCCGTTGTCTACAAAATCAATGGTTCAACGAAAGGAACACTGACAATTGATGCTACTAGTTGCCAATGAAAGGAACACTGACAATTGGAACCAAACACACCACCCAACGGGGAAAAAAAAAAGGACGCGGTTGAATTCACTGAATTCGGTACAGAATTTGTGCCTTACATGTCCTTCGATTTATTTATGCCTTTATTACAAGTTTACATAATTACATGTCTCCTTTAAACCAAATCTTGATTACATTACATACACTAATACTCCATACATCTTGTAATAAAAAATCGTAGCTGTGTGAGCAGGAGGAGAACACAAGAACCCATGACTTCAATAAGGGACGTGCTGGGGCCTGACGTCGGTGGGCGTAGGATTCCATCTGACGGCCGTTTTCCACACGCGCATGCACAGCCTGTACCCTGTCCGCTAATTCGCCCTACCCGCATGCGCATCGCGCCGTCGTCGCGTCCGTACGACTCGCTCGCAATCCGCCTCGATTCGACCCGCTCCCATCCGGGCACCTCCGTCCCCGTCCGTCCGTCTCGCCCCGCAAGCATACCCCGCCCCGTCGTGTCCCCCAACCGCCGGCCACAAGAGCTTCATGCTCTAAGTCCGCCGGCCACTGGCTCACCACATCCCATTCTTTGCGCGCCCGTGCCATGCCACCATCACTCCTCCGCGCCTCTGACTCTCCGAACAGCATGAAAGACGTGCAACATAAAACATTTGAATGCAACATATGTCTGAAATAGATGAAATATCTGGAACATACACTTTCAACATATGTGTGAAAATATATGCAACATTCAGATAGAATATTTGCAACTTGCAACGTGAAAACACTTGCTGCAACTGAAAACTGGAACATATGAAATATTTGGAACATACTGTTGCAACATATGTGTGAAATATATGCAACATCTAAATCAAAAAACTTGCAACAAACGTCTGGAACAGATGAAACATTTTGAATAAACGCTTGCAACATGCCTCAGAAACACGTGCAACATGTGCAACATCCCCAATATACTTTTGCAACATTCATATAAAATAGCTACAATATATCTCTGAAATGTATGAAACACTTGAAACATATATTTGCAACATAGGGAAGGGGAACATCTGTGCCCGTCAATTTCGACCGTCGGGGTAGGAGCCGGCGGCGTGCGGGCACCACTAGCATCTAGCGTCAGCGGAGCGCGCTAGCACCATCACCACCAGCGCCACCCGCACCGGGCTTGGCTCGGCCGGACGGACGGCGCGAGCGACGGGAGCAAGCAAGCGATGGCGAATGGGGCGCGCAATAGCAGCGAGGAGAGTGTGCGTCCGCGTCTAGGACCAGGCAGCCGCAAGGCGCCGTGGCAGGGGAGGAAGAAGCGAAAGTGATAATGATGAGTGATTTTAACTCGTGAGCAGAACGAGCGGCGGGATAAAAGCGCAAGCAACGAAACGACGCCGCAACGGGCCTATAGGAGTGTCCGACGATCTGTCCTGACGTCAGACGTAAGGCTGCCTCCAACTGGAGACCCATCAGAAAACCCAAACCTAAAATGAGTCTCCAACAGAATACATATAGCCTTTAATAGAGTATCTATATGGAAGACCAATTTTTAGTGTCAGAAGAGGTATAACCCAAATGTGAGTATCCTCTCTCCTGGAGACGCATTTGCAGAAAAAGTTCTCTTTTAAGTCTTATTGTTGGAGAAGACAAAAATAGGTATTAAACCATTTGCCTATAACACTACCTAAACGTGAAATATGTTTTGTATGTTGGATAACGGTCGTTAGACTGTCTCCAACAAAAAACCCATATGGACACCTAAACCCAAAATAGATCGTAAGAGATCTAAAATCAGACTCCAACAGAATACCTATATGGGAGATATATTTTGGGTTGCATGAGAGACACAATCTAAATATGGACATCCTCTCTCTTGAAAATACATTTGTAGAAAGGATTTTCTTTTGAGTCTTGTTGTTGGAGAAGATGTCGAATAGTTATTGAACCTTTTACTACCTGTAACATTATTAAAAAACAAATATGTCTTATATTTTAGGTATTTTCGATGGAGCTAGCCTTACACACGGTCTAACGCACGTAGCATTACCGCTCCAATAATGTCACGCGCACCAAGCCCATCTGCGACACGTCGTTCGGCAAATACGACATCTGCGGCCTGGCAGGCGACGCGCGGGCACGCGGTGGCGCCGCCGCGACGGTCATGACGCTCGTCTCTCCACGCGCGCCGCTCCGTACCCACGGAAGTACCTGGATGGGCGTCGATGCGGCTACATCCGCCACCGGCCACCGGCCACCGGGGATGCGAGAGCCGCGGCGGTCTTCAAATTCGTTGACCTTGGGTAAATGCTTGCTGTATTTTAGCAGAGCAGTGAGTTTGACTTTGGCGACCCACCCACTCACCCAACCGACGCCGACAGCTGGCTGCTCTGCTCTGCTCCCACCGCAAGCCTACAAAAATCCAAGCTGCGTTCGTCGCCGCGGAAGGCGGGATCGGGGCATCGGGCTGGGCGGGCTTCACCTTCCTTGGGTGCCCGTGCCAGGTGCCGCCCCGCCACCACCCACCCCGTTCCCCTTTCCCACCAGCAAAGCAGCTGCAGTCTCCGGCCGCCATGGCGAAACCACCGCCACCCACCTCCACCTCCGACCCCGCGCTCCCAACCACCACCACCACCTCGTCGGCCCCCAAGCCGTCGTCCCGCCCCGCCCCAGCTCGCCTCCTCGCCCCACTCACCGCCTCCGCGCGCTCCCTCCTCGCCTCGGCGCGGCGCTCCCCGGTGACCACGCTCGCCGCCGCCTTCTTCCTCCTCGCGCTCGTCATGTACGGCGAGGACGCGCGCACCATCGCCGAGCTCTCCATCGACGACTACCTCTACCCGGGCGCCAACCTCTACAACGTCTCCGGCCTGCCGCCCCTCGCGCTGCCGCCGCCCACCTGCGACCTCTCCCGCGGCCGCTGGGTCTTCGACAACGTCTCCGTCCCGGCGTACCGGGAGAAGGACTGCACCTTCCTCACCAAGCAGGTCACCTGCCTCGCCAACGGCCGCACCGACGATATGTGGCAGTACTGGAGATGGCAGCCCAACGACTGCTCCCTCCCCACGTATGGACTCATCCTCTTCCAGATCTCCACCAATTACCTCATTGCGAGCTCGCGTCTTGCTTGCAATTGCGCTAAATTTGACTCTTTTGTTGTATTGCTCCCCCAATCGATTGATTCGAAGCAGGTTCGACGCCCGGAGATTCATGGAGGCGATGCGCGGGAAGCGGCTGATGTTCGTGGGGGACTCGCTGAACCGGAACCAGTGGGAGTCGCTGGTGTGTCTGGTGCAGCCCATCCTGTCCAAGGGCAGGAAGAAGATCGTCAAGCGGGGCTCCTTCAAAACCTTCTACGCCAAGGAGTACCGCGCCACGCTCGAGTTCTACTGGGCGCCCTTCCTCGTCGAGTCCAACTCGGACAACCCCAACTTCCACAGCATCAAGGAACGGATCATCAGTCCCGAGCGGATCGAGAGCCACGCTAAGAACTGGAAGGATGTTGACTACCTCATCTTCAACACCTACATCTGGTGGATGAACAACGCCGACATCAAAGTCAGGTCAACACCTACGTCATCTGGTTCTGGACTGGGAATGCGTAGTTTCTTTCTCTGTGGCTTTCTGCAATCAAGCAATGGGATCGTATCGTGTTCTGAGATCTCGCTGGGTGGATTTTTGCAGGAGACCGAATTCGAAGTATTGGTCTGAGAACGACGAGGTTCCCAGGATTGAGGCGTATGGCCAGGTGTTCAAGACGTGGTCAGATTGGCTCAATGACAACATCGATCCTGCCCGGACGTCCGTCTTCTTCATGACGATTTCTTCTCCTCACCTCAGGTGACCGAAAGCTGCTGCATTTATATTTCCTTCCCCCCCTCCTCTATATGGTACAATCAATGGTGGTTGGCTGTGGACTTTGATTGATTAATTCCTTTAGGAGTGATTTGCAATGCAAACTTGAACTTTGTGGACCACTGTCGGTTCAATTGGACTGGACACCATACATAGGCTTGATTCAAGTGGTTTGTTAGGCCCAAATTGCCTTCTAGAGAAGCAACCTTCCTCTTGTTCTATATTCAGCTAACCATAATGTCACTGTCCACTCCGCCAAATCATGGAACTCAGCTTTTAGGTTAGATCATGACCCACAAGGAAAGTGACGGCCTAACTTATGGGTCTGTTAGTCAACATTTTTGCATGGATGCAAAATCCAAATAGTTCAATTTTTTGGGCTTCACTCACTACTCACTAGTAGATCTCAATTTATATTTCTATATGATTTGTCATATTTGCATTCTGCAATCAGAAAAGGGGAGCACTGTAGGCTTGATACCATACGTACCTTGATTGAAGTGTTTTGTAAAGTTGATATCACCTTCCAGAGAAGAAATCTTCCCCTTGTCCTAGTCTGACATCATTGTCCAATCCACCAAACTATGTGCTCTGTGGATCAGCTGTTTCCTTGGCTCAGGATCCACTAGGAAGTAGGAACAAAACGATAGACCAAACTTATGTCCCTTCTATTCAACATTCCTACAAGCACGTCACATTGAATTATATGAGCCCAGGTTTCAACTAGTAGACCTTGACTCCTTGAGTGTTCACAGTGAGCAAGTATGAGATTATAGACTGCTGGTGACATTAAACAGTAACTGACTTGGGTTTAAGGATCAGTATTACAGTCAAATGAAAACCTTAGGTTTGGAATCTGGTGTTTTGGTATTGTATGATTCATGTGCTGTTCAAAGTGACGAAGTTTCAAGCCAAGAGTAAGGAAAGCATGCAGAAAATATTACAATAGAATCCATACTCATAAGTTGGATAGTAGCTGGGAAAAATGGGAATTGTGGGTGCAGAGTGTCCTAGATGCCAACAAACTTGTATGAGGGTCCAGCTCAAATAGAATGAGAAAAGAAACAGTTGGTACAATAAAGGGGTACCTTTTTATGTGGGGTGGGGAGTCACTGTTGTGGGTGTTCTGAGATTGCTTTGCCATTTTTGTTGCATCACAAGAAACCTTCAAGCTAGGATTTGACCTGTAAACAACCTCTAGTGTAGAAAGAAAAAGGGGCCCCATTGTATCTAACTGGAATGTCTAGTTGTCCTGATTCCTGAGACACAGGCTATGATATTGTGAGCACCCTTTGGCGCTGATCTGTTTTAATGCCTAAAAAAGTCTTGATATGGTCACTTGCCTGATAGAAAACCCTCGCCTTCTAAAATTCTGTTTGCAGTATTTATTATGTAAAGTGAATGTCAAGGTCCAATATTTGTCATCTCATCTGTGTTCTGCTATTCTGCTTCTGATATGAATAGAAGCTCCTTTTTACCCTGGTAAAACTATTGTGCAGCTGGTACGTACCATTGTCAATTGAACATGCAACCATGGAGTCTTTGGTATTAGGTTGATACATGAAAAAAAAAAAGACTACAGGTCCATACTCCGATGAAACACTCAATACTTATACTAGTGTTATGAAAAAAACTTATACTAGGAGTATTCAAAATATCTGTGAGATGTCTACTTCAATGTTGCCTGCCTGTCTACCTGGCCAAGAATCTTGTAGAACTGTAGAATTCATATCACTCAAAACTGAACAGAAACATAGTGGCAGGAGTAGTAAAACAACAGAGGTTATGTAAGAACCTACTGATGTGAGTGTGTGTGGTGTATGGGTTCTTGCCCCATTTTTCATTGTAGTACACTGATACGCAGTTCTCTTACGTGTTGAAGAAAAAAAAAAAATCAACAGAGGTGTTATCATTGATGCTGCATCATTAAACGAAATCTGGATGCAGAAGCTATGTTTAAATTGGTAACGTCTCTCATTAGGCTTGGAGTCTTGTGCATTTTTATTGTCATAGTCAGTGTCTGTCCTGTGAGTGTTGAGTGCCTCATAGCCTGTGCAGTATTATTTTGCAAAGTTAGTGTCAGTGTCTAGTATGCTAAAAAATCCACACGAATCTGACCCACATGCTTCCACATGGGCATGTCCTAGACTAAACAACATGAGAGGCAGCACTGCAGCAGGCGCCCTGCACGTTGGGAATTGAGTTTATTTTCTCACTTGTTACAGCCATAGGCTTGCACATATTTTGGCGGTAATCTATTGTAAATTGTATTTGTTTCCTACATTTATATTGATAAATTTGTTTACCAGTTAAAAAAAAGCATAGTGAATTTTAAAGCAATTGTGTTTAGATGTCGTCAACATATATTCGGCACCATGTCGTTAATTTCGGTTGCTTTAGGCTGTAAATTAGGTCAATATTTAACATGCCTTTTTATGTGTTGGTCTTGCTAAAACTTGCTTACATTTTTGTGAAAACAGCCCACAGAATTGGGGAAACCCGGATGGGATCAAGTGCGTGAAGGAGACGCTTCCGTATCAGAACTACAGCCAACCCCTGGATCTTTACCACGACATGCGGTTGTATGACCTAGTGGTCAATGTGGCCAGGTCCATGGAGAAGGTCCCAGTGTCAGTGATCGATATCACAAAGATGTCAGATTACCGGAAGGACGCCCACACGGGCCTGTACACCTTCCGGCAAGGGAAGCTGCTGACGCCTAAGCAGAAGGAAGACCCAGAGAAGTCCGCGGACTGCATCCACTGGTGCCTTCCTGGCGTGCCAGACGTGTGGAACCAAATACTCTACACGAGGATTCTTTCAAAATCATCATGGCATTCTAATTTTAGCCCCCCTCCATCCCAGTCCCTGCCTGTTCCTCCCCAATGAGAATCAGAAGCGGGGGTGTTGGTTTTTGTTGGAGAATGTAGGATTATTCATTTTTCTTTCTTTATTTTTGGGTAGATTGAGTAAAGGTTAGCGCAAAAAGAAAAATGGTGTGCTGATTACTGATGGTATAGCATGTAAGATGGTTCAGCTGAAGTGTAAATTAGTTGAGGAAACAACAGCGATCTAGTACAAAGTGCACCCTGGTTATATAATATACATATACTAGTTCACAGGCAGAATTACCTATATATGAACCTTCTCCCTGCTGGATGATATAAAATGTGCCAATTTTTTTCTGTTTAGAAATGCCTATTGCTTCTTAATGCTTAGGAAAATATAATAACATGGGGATAAAAAACAGGGGTTCTCTCTTTTCTATTTGTTTTACCTGGGCCCCTTATGTGTGTGAGTAATGTACAGTATATAGGACAGGCGCAAGATCATTTCAATGGCAGGAGTGTGTATCTTCTTTTGGAGACCCATTTGATTTCAGCCTGTAGACTTCCGTCAGTGATCCCCTTCCTTTTCAATTTTCTGTTGCAACAGCCAACAAGGAGCCGTAAATAACAGAGTAGTGTTCTTTCCTTGAAATGATGAAAACTGTTTCTGAAGCTACGCAACTAAAACGGACTTGCTTTGCACCGGGCGTCCGATCCGGGTCCGCACGGGAAAGAGCAAGCACCTAGCATGTCGGGCTCGCGAGCAAGCGCACTAGCAATTCGCCCGCGCCGCCTCGGACGTCGCTCGCACCGCCTCAAACGTCGTGCGTGCCGCTAGCCTCTTCCCACACACATCTCATATGCAACACCTGATCTACTTTTAAAACATTCAAATGGAATAGTTGCAACATACAAAAAAGACAAATGAAATACTTGAAACAAGCGTGAGAAACACTTACGAAAACATCTTAAAAACATTTGAAAACCATTGCAAACTATGCAACATTAAGATGAAACACTTACAAACATACGTATGAAACACCTAAAAACACTTGAAACATATGCTTTTTGGCAACATCCAGATAAAATACTTGCAACATACGTCTGGAGCAGATAAAACATGTGGAACATACACTTGAAACATACGTGTATAACGATTGCAACATATGTAACATCCATGTGGAACGCTTGCAACATAACTCTGAAACACTTGAAACATACGCTTTCAGCAAAACCTGGCAAGCAGGCGGGCAGAGCACTTCATAGCGGGATCCGGTTATGCAGTCACGGTGGAGAACGAGGATGGCAACGGGCGGGCGGCTGCGTGGCCCACGGTGAGCGTCTGCGCTGCCCCCGGCGGTAGGGGGTGTGCAGTGCCCTCGGCGAGCGGTGGAGGCGACAACAACAGTCAGGTGGGTGCGGCCTTGCGCGGCGAGGCGACAACGTTGTGCGGTCATGGGGGGAGCACGCCGCAGCGATGCGGGCGCGGCGGTGGTGGAGAGGAAGGCCGGTGGGAGACGCAGTGGAGAGGAAGGGCGTCGGGAGGCGCGGTGTAGCGCGGTCACGGCGATGCGCTGCGGTGACTAGAGGGGAGCGGATAGGAACGAACGATAGGATAGCCTTTTGGACGTCGGAGTCCAGCAGCACGGATGTCCGCGCGCGAACGGACGTCTGGGTCCTAGCATTACTGCAACTAAAAGGCCTTCATTTATTCCTCGTTCTCATGCAACTCTTGCTTATCAGTGGGTTCAAAGCCCAATTTAGGTCAAACCAGTAGCCCAATTGTTTTTCTAGGTAAAGCCTCAGCCACTGGCGGAACCAAGGGGGGTGGCAGGAGTAGTGGCCCCCAACATTGTAGAAAAAATTTAATACCCTTAAAAATTTCAATTTATAGTACATAAAATCATCAATTCACCTATTTTTCATCACGAGATTATGATTTTTCGTTATTAATACTAACTACACATGTAAAAACACTTGAAAAGTTCTTGAAACATACACTTATGTGTATATTTATCATACTTAGAGGTGTCATCACATTTTTTTGGCTCCACTTAATCAAAATCGTTGGTTCCACCTCTGGCCTCAACACTTGGTGGTTGTGGCCTTGTAGGCTCGCTTGCAGCCCAACAAGCCTCAACCCTTCTTTTCTTCTAGTAATTTTTTGAATACACCCTTGTGAATGTAAGTATTCCTAAACGAGCCCTAACCATTGTCTCTGAACAACTCAGGAAGTCAGGATCCAACCTTTGAACAAAATAATTATCATCAAGTGCAATGATTTGCGTCAAAGAGAAAATACCTGCTTACAAAGTAATGTAATTTAGTTGATTCCTTTATATTAACTATAAGGACTTCGACCATAGTCGCGTCCCCTAAAAATGATAAATAATATATCACGTCACGTCATTTATATAAATAAAAAAGGTATTGTTAATACTCATGTGACCTACTCAAAGTGGACACTTTCCATTAACACTAGAGTAGGCAAAATGTATACACATGTTTTTGGAGAAAAAATATCATGTATTTTTAATTTAACATTGTTCCTTTCAACTCGCACCATCTATAGATTGCGCCAATGATAATATCACCCACATTAGTAGGCTATCAATGATATATTCCGATAATAGTGAATAAGGTCATTTACAAACATATATTCATCCTTAGCCAAATAATACATCGGTTACAAGGTTAATTACCGAGGGAAAATATAATAAAACTAGTAGCCATGTTAGCTATCATGGCATGTGAAAGGTCCTAATATGGTTAAGAGGAGGTGAATAGCCTATTTAAAAATCTACAAATCAACTAGAGCAATTTGATTAGTATGATAAATAGCGAAATACAAACTTGTTCTAGCTCTACAAGAGTTGCAAGCCACCTATCCAACAATTCTAGTTGCAATGATTACTAGGCATACAACTTACAATGTTACTACTCACTAAGAGCTCTTAAAAAATACTACTCTAAAGAGCTCAACTAAATGAACTTAAACTAACAAAGCAAGCTCTCAATTCTAATTACACTAAAGAGCTTGTCACAACTAGTTTGCAATAATATAAATGAGTGAGTAGGGTGATTATACTGTCGTGTAGAGGAGTGAACCAATCACAATATGAATACTAAATCAATCACCGGGAGAATTCCAAAGGGCAAGAGACAACCAATTTTTCTCCCAAGGTTCACGTGCTTGCCGGCACGCTAGTCCCCGTTGTGTCGACCAACACTTGGTGGTTCGGCGGCTAAGAGGTGTTGCACAAACCTTGTTGAAAGGATCAAGTTGCCCAAGAAGGGGGGTGAATTGGGCTAATTCTAAATTTTCTTTCAATAATCAAATCCTACGGATAGCCCAATTAACCCCTTGTGCCTAGAAAAGTGTTTCTATCAAATCAACGCACAAAAGACTTGCAACCTATGTTCCAAACTTACTCTAGCATAGCAATTCTATGAATATAAAGACAAGTATTGAATTGCTCAAAATAAATACTTAAAGTAAATGCTCAAAGTGAATAGAGAAGGGAACGCGGCGATGTTTTGCCAAGGTATCGGAGAGTCGTCACTCTCCACTAGTCCTCGTTGGAGCACCCGCGCAAGGGTGTAGCTCCCCCTTGATCCGCGCAAGGATCAAGTGCTCTCTACGGGTTGATTCTTCGACACTCCGTCGCGGCGAATCACCCAAAACCGCTCACAACTTGAGTTGGGTCACCCACAAGCTCCGCCGGGTGATCACCAAGCTTCCAACCACCACCAAGCCGTCTAGGTGATGGCGATCACCAAGAGTAACAAAGCACGAACTCTCACTTGACCACGCCAAGCCTAATGAGAAGATGGATGCACACTTGTCTACTCTTGATTCACTAATGAGGTTTCACTCTTGGATTCTCAAATCACAAACATCTCACTAGGACCTTGCTCTTCTTGGCACTCACAAACGTGTTTCTCCTATTGAATGAGCAAAAGTAACTCCACACACGAGTGGAGCTTCTATTTATAAGGCGACTGAAAAACGAACCGTTATGAGCTTATGCGGGATGACCGGACGCCCGATCGATTGACCGGACGCTTCCGGTCAGTTTCAATCCAGCATAAATAGTTTCAAGTGATGACCGGACGCTGTCGGTCCGGTCCGGTCGAGACTGACCGAACACGTCCGGCCGCTCTTGAAGCTTATCAGAATCGACCGGACGCCGGATACTCGTGGTCCGGTTACCACCGACCGGACACGTCCGGGCCACACTTTCTCAACTCTCGACCCTTATTGAGTCGACCGGACGCTGCCCCAGCGTTCGGTCACACAACCTTCCAGCGTCCGGTCCTCCTGCAGACTTGTTCTCCTCGGTCAAATGAATCGACCGGACCTGCGGCCAGGCGTTGATTCCGGTCACACCGAGCCGTCATTCCGGTCAAGATTTGACCCTCCATTCACTTCCAACTCTCGATCATATGTGAATGAAGTTTGCTCCAAAGGATCTTAGGCATTCATAGGAGCTACCTAGAGCTAGTTTTAACAAGTGTGCACCACACCTAACTCACTAGACTCAACTAGGTCAAGCTACCCGTTCATACCCCCCCTTCATAGTACGGCCAAAGGAAAAATAAAGTCCTAAACTACTCTAAGTGTTTCTCCAACTTCAATTGACACTTAGAACTAGTTATCCTTAACCTTGTCGTCCATCCTTTGAAAACCGAAACGATTTCCATCGTAGGGGCGTGACAACCTCAATTGCCCAATCGATCTCCATTACCATGACCTAACTTAATTGCCTCTGCAAAACACACGTTAGTCATAGTAATCTTGTATTGACATTAATCACCGAAATCCACTTAGGGACCTAGATGCTTTCAATCTCCCCCTTTTTGGTGATTGATGACAATACCACCTCGAGTATGTTATGGAATGAGGTTTTTGACGGGCTTGGTTCATATAAGCTTTTGTCGTTAAGAACAAAAGAGTTAGGCAAGCTTATATGACCCAAGCCAACACAATGTACTCAAAGGATATGAATTAAGCATGAGTACAAGTAACAAAGCTCATTTGCTTCGAAGTATAAACGCGGA